CCCCCCCCCTGCCCCCCCAGTTCCGGCGTCCCTGTATATGTCACCTGTGATTGCCCTTTAACCCTGGTCTTATGCCAACAAATGCATTGCTTTTTTCAGTTACAATACACTTATGGCATGAATTAATTCTGTATCCTTAAGCTCCGGCAGTCGCTGGCTGACCAGTCGCCAGCTTGCTGCAAGCAATAATTGTGCTTTGTATAATTTGTACCATTTAGTTCAATTTGCTCTTAATGGCCTCAGCAAACCCTACCTTGCAGTTACCCTAGTTAGATAATAGATAATTATCTAAAAATGTAAGCAAAAGTGTTATATACAGTACTGTATATACTTCTATTTTCTTCCGCCATGTTCTGTAAGTGGCCGGTACATGTTTGAATTTAATATATAACTGTAACAATGAGTCATTTGAGAAAAGATACACACTCCAGGCTAACCTGAAGTTCAGGCCCTAATTTCAAATAGGGCCTGACACAAAACCTGTCTAGACCGTGGGACGCCCACATGTTATTTTTAGACACAACATGCAATATGATTGACAAGTGTTATAGATTTCGTTACACAAAAAAATTATATTCCCATGAACATGTCCGCAGAGTGTGCATTTTGCTTTATAATTAAACTTAAAAATTCGAGGTACTTTTATATAAATAAGATTCAGACAAAGATTTAATTAATAGTCAGTTCTGTGCACGGCTAGACTGCCAAGCTTTCTCAAGGTCTCAACTTGCTGGACGCGGATATTAGAGATATACTTTATTAAAACGGGCTAACAACAGCAACAATGAAATTCTCAATCGTACCACGAAGAAGGCGATGTAGCTCAGAAAACAACGCCGGTAGGACCTGATATTAAAAATAAGACTTTTGCCGGCGAAGCCAGTTGGCAAAACATCTTGGCTGTCAACAACAAGCTTTCGAATACATGACTAGTTTGGCTGTTCTTTCGGCGTCGTGTGTCCAAAATTCGTCCAAGATTTTGATAAAGCCCTTTCAAAATACTGTTTGTTTGATTTATTTTCTGCCATAAAGCATAAAAGAAAAAGAAATTCGAAGAAATCGATAATGGAATTTGTACGTGCGTTTGACCTTTATATTTATACTGTAATTGTCGCCTTGACCGAGCTATTTTTAAAACTGTTGTTTATGTAAACTTGCAACCAATCAAAATCCTTCATGATGCTGATCAACCAATCAGATTTCCCGTCTCACACTTTAGATAGGTTTTGTGTCAGGCCCTATTCTGTGATTAGGGCCTGAACTTCAGGTTAACTCCAGGCCCTCCCAAAATCCAGATTGAGAAGACGGGAAAATTTGTTCCTGATAATATAGTAACAAGGCTAAAGTACATGTGAAGGGGGTAGGGGAATTAACTTCCAATTTCCTCAGCAGGGGATGTATGGATGTTTTCTGGAATGAAGACTCCTTATGAGACTGACTTTTAAAGGGAGGAGCAAATATCCCTGAGAAAGTTAGAGCACTTTCCTCCTCCTGTACACCACCCTTCCCTCCTCCTGTACCCCCACCCTTCTTCACAATTTCTATTCTAGAATATTTGGCTGTTTTCAACATACAGTAACAATACAGTTAAACGTCGAAATTATTAAAAGCGTTTAGTAAACAATGCATAAATATGCATAAATTATGTTTAATGACAATTTATAGCAATTAATCCAGCCTCCACATTGTTCTAAGATGTTAAAATGGAGAATTCATATATTGATGTTATAAATATCATAAAACACACAAATTAGCGCCTCTTATATAGTATTTAGGGCCACCAAATTACTATTTAGGGCCTCTTATAGGCCTTATATGCCAAAACTTGAGTCAAGATTATAAGTATAAAGTATTATTAATCTGTATTATGAAGTCGCAAAAAATATAATCGCCTTCATTATCCAAAACTTACCTGCAATCAAAATACACTAAACGAACGCCATTGCACTGTTTCCCGTAGATGGACTATTCCAAATAAAATAGCTGTTTTTATAAACTATAAACAAAGCAAAATATACATAAATTTTCATGTAATTTTAAGTTTTCAAACGCGTTGAAGATAATATAATTTACATAATAAAAACCAAGTCATCAATAACATAATAAAAAAACGCGAAATACTTTATAGTTTTACTTACACACCAAAATTTTATTATTTTTCAACCGATTCCCACGCCTGGTCGCCGCCATCTTGAAAATATATTATCGTGTTTTCCCGGACACCCCCTGAAATTACAATTTTCTCTCTTCTCTCCCCCCGTACAACAAATCAAAACATAACAATGAAATAGACCATATGATTTAAAACATCGAGTATGAAACGAAATCTAGACAGTAAAATTTTAATTTTTCTTGGAATCGTCATCGTAGCATTGGTTGGCTTGAAAACCTATCGAAGTTTATCGTTTAAAGTAAGAGTTTGATTTCTTTCTGACGGCTTTTGTTGAGAACTTCAGACCACACTGCTTGTGCAAAAAATACCGTGGCCTATATACTAGCTGTGCAAACATATGGCAGAAAGCAAAGAACAGGCCCTTTCGTCACTCAGCGAAATTTTGAATATCGATCGCGAGCTGGCGAGATATTATTTAGAAAGAATGCGTTGGAGTTTAGAGGTAAATTGCTAGGAGTAAGATTGCCTTGAGATAAAATATAAAGGCTGTGATTACCTAGCTATTAATTATTAAAAGTATTGATCAATGATGATGTATACAAAGTAACAGTCATGTATAAGGATGTGAATTTCTAAGATCCAGGCATTATTATATACCCCCTGGATATTCATCCAACACCGAATCCCAGATCCAACACAGTATTAATAAACACATGCATATATAATTATGTGAAATGTCAGCTGTTCTTTCCGAAAATTTTTTTTCTGAATCTTTCACACATGCTAACCCCTAGCCTAAGCTCTAACTAGTCATTATCCTAACTGCTCTTTACACTCGTACATATATGCACATAATTCCACACCCAGATTTGATCTGGGCAATAGTGCATGCCAGGCAAGTGCCTTAACCACTTGGCTACTGAAGAATTGCTGGCAATCAAATGAAATTTATTTGGTATCATTTTGGCATATTTGAAAAAGAGGAAAATATTTTTGTCAGACAACCAAATATTTGGATCTGGTGTTGTACAAATAACCACTGCTTACAAAGTAACAGTCAAGCATACTGGTAGCCACTACTAGCTATCTCTATAATCCGCTTTCTTTGATCAGCCAAGTAACTATAATGGTATGTTGATGCAGCACAATCCCCTTGCTGAGATAATTAGAGAAACGTACTACAAGGAGATTTATTGTTTGCAAACACCAGTACATAATGGCGTAAGATGATTGCGTATGAAGACAGTGTCACTGTGATCAAACCACAAATCTAGATATACAACTACAGTAGGAGATTTATTGTTTGCAAATACCGTCATCTTACGCCATCATGTATAGGTGTATGTAACAAGATTGTGGCATGAGTACACGAAACCATATGAAGATGTCATGAACTACAAATCTCATAGTAGTATAGTCATGCTTATTGGCAAGTCTAAATTTATTCAATAGCTATCTAGTGGCTGTCTGGCTGAGGGAGGGAGTTTCTGTCTGGTTGCATTGTAGCTCAATGGGTTAACAAAATACATTGACAGATATTAATAGCTTAGCTAATGGCTGAGTTGACTTAAATAATTCTTTCATTCCAGGGTGCAATTAATGAATATTATTCAGACACAGCAGATAAGCCTGCAGGAAAGGTTTCAAATGATAAGGTGAGAACTCATAAAGCATTGGTGATTGACTAATTACTGTAAGGTCTGAAAATAAAATAGCTGTGGTCCAGTTTCATATTGTGAAAAAATTAGGGTCGATAGTTTGGAAATATATATATTTTAAAATATTTTTTTCATGGTTTTTTCAATAATTAGTGTGACAACAGACGCCATTTTGGCAGCAGCCTGCAACCACCCGGAGAAAATAGGGTCTAACGGTCAATCGTGTTGAAAAAATAATAGGGTTGGTCGGGAACCGGAACCACAGATGAAATGCTACATTATAGAACCATTAAATACTTCATTATTTTATCTAGCCACCTTCTTATTCCCAGATTGAAGGGGAACCATCAAGTCCCAGGTATGTTGTATGTCAAGAATTTCGTTTAGGCATCATAATATTATCAGCCACACCCATATTCACCTGGTCATAATAAAGTATTTTGAATCACCTTTGCTGTTCTAAAACTTAATTTTTTCATAAAAGCACCAATGCTTCTGATGGCCCTCAGAGCCTCAAACTTCTCTGCTGGAATCTCGATGGCTTGGACACAGTCGACTTGGAAGAAAGGACAACAGCAGTTGTTGAAAACATTCTCTTGCTGAAGCCCGATGTTGTACTGCTTCAAGAAGTAGTAGCATATTCACTGAAGATTTTTCAAGAAAACTGCGAAGGGTAAGATACTGTTCTAGAGAGGTTCAGACTAGGCCTGGAAAATAGGGATCCTGGATATTGAGGAAGATTTGTCTTGAAGAAGATTGAGGAACGTCTTCAATTTTTTCACACATACGTTAGGCCTAAAAATATACCTGTGGATCCGGTTTGCCTACCGACCCAATTTTTTTCTGCTGACCCTATTATTTTTTTGACGCGATTGAACGTGCGACCCTATTTTCTCTGGGTGGTTGCGGGCTGCTCATTCATGCCAAAATGGCGTCTGTTGTTACAATAATTATTGAACCAAATTGCCTAAATTCGTCCACAGGAAATATGCATCTCTAGTTAATATTCATCTCGGGACCCTACTGAAAATCGCCCATGAAAAAACCGCCAATGAAAAAATCGCCTGAACCATGAGAAAAAAAATATTCCAAAAAAATGTTTTCCGACCTACCTACCCTAATTTTTTCACGCTATATGTAACCGCGGAATCACTGGTCTTTTTTTAAAAGTCTTTGTGTGTCTGATTACCAATCTGGTAGCAAAGTTCTAACGGTGATTTTATAACCGTGAAAGCATGCCTGAGTACACTGTTCACAAAAATTGAATAAGTCACATATTATTAGCACCAATGAAGATCCAGGCTTACAGATCGAAAGTTTCGCAGTAATAAACTTACGTGGTGTTTCCACGAACAAAAAGTATTATATGTTTTATCGCCATGCAATTCTACAAAGAACTTATTAGCATCCAATGTGTTTCTTAGATACATCGTGCTGGCTGGCAATCACACAGTCCCTTACTTCAACGCGATATTAATCCGAACGAGCACCGTACAGACGAAAGCAACCTCGCTGAAAATAGTTCCATTCGAAACCAGCATCATGGGACGTCATTATCTCATTCATCCAATCAAATTCGCGGACGCCAAGATCGTTGTGATGACGTCACATTTGGAAAGTCTCGTCGACAACGGCGCTGAACGAAAGAAACAGTTTTCGGAAATTCTAGACTACATGAAACGCCAGAATGAGAACTTTAATGTGATATTTGGCGGGGATACGAATCTTCGCGATACCGAGGTCAATGCTGTGGGGGGTGTACCTAGTGGGATCCTTGACGCGTGGGCAAGCTGTGGTAGTGCGCTGATCACAAAGTACACATGGAACATGGCTGAAAATAACAACAACGGCAAAGCGTATCAACGGCCCCCTAAACTTCGATTCGATCGAATCTTTGTCCGCCCAGCGAAAGAAGCAAAAGCTATTAAGCCTAGCACGTTTTCTCTCGTAGGAAAAGAACGGCTAAAAGGCTGCAAAAGATTTGCCAGTGATCATTGGGCCATATGGTTAGAATTTAGCATTCAATAGAAGGATAAAATCAATTTTTATTATCGAGACTTAAAGACCCTTGTACACGCTAAATAATAGACTAGTGTTTTATTTACTGTAGGTTAGGTTTTACAATTAGCATTATTTTATTTTCCCCAATTCTAATCAAGTTTGGAAAGTTATCTGATTTAAATAAGACGATTACATTGCAAAGTTTTCGGAATATTTTCTGTGATGCATTCTTTGAATATTCCGTACGAGATGTAATATATCAAATCCAACTATATGCATGGGGCCTAGCCTTACAATATATCCAACCGTGGGATCGGTTCAGTCCGAGGACTGGTTGAATTGAAATGATTGCATATCTATGATTGCATAGTCTCCCGGTTAGCGGAAACAGTGAGTGACAGACTATAACCTATAGCCGATTAGCACAAGTGGCGGACAAATAGGGGAGGGACTATAGTGACAATAGACTATTGTGAAAAATTCTATGATAAAGAAAAAAATCTTGTACGTCGGGCAATTTCATGAACGTCCGGCAAATTTATGGAAATTATCCCCCCCTTCCCCCCCAAAAAAAATAACTAACTGTTCCGCCACCACTGGTTACCAAAAACTGCTTTGCAGATGATCGAGTTCGTCGTAAATTTGCAGAGCGACAGCACAATATTTAATCGTTTTCGTTTGTTCATAACACCACCTATATTTATGTTGCACAGAATAATGCTCAGTTTGATAAAAACCCGGTCTTATGCCTAATTTCCACTAGGCGGAATTTTGCGCGCGGAGCGGAAACTTTCTTTGTCTTGTGATTTCTCAGGTGGAACTAATTAGAAAAGACAAAGAAAATTTCCGCTGCGCGCGCAAAATTCCGCCTAGTGGAAATCAGGCTTAACGGATCAAAAGCTTTATCAATAATAAATATGTGGTGCTGCACACCTAAAGTACCGACCAAATGCTGGAATACATCAGCCTGCGTCGCATACTTCAAAACACATGTTTTGAAGTATGCGACGCAGGCTAGAATACATATGATGCTTGTGATGTTACTCTGAGTGTATATCCACACCGGGAAAGCTTGAAAAATATGCCTGACCACGGTGGGAATCGAACCTACGATCTTTGGAATACTAGCCCAATGCTCTGCCAACTGAGCCACGCGGTCTGGTCGGTTCGAGTATGTGATATTTCGGAACAGAATCTAGTTCCTTCGATATCAATGTAATCTGATAATCATGATTTTTTTTCTGTGTTGGTGTAATGTACTCAGGTGAATATGATCGATGCTTGTGATGTTACTCTGAGTGAAAATCCACACCGGGCAAGCTTGAAAAATATGCCTGACCACGGTGGGAATCGAACCTACGACCGAGTTCCTGTTTTAAATCCGCGTAGAAATAGGGTTCTGCAGTCGTGACTGTGATTTTTATTTCTGAACATATGCATGCGAGAAGTGGTGCTTGCAAACCCTTGAAACTCAAAATTTCTCCGGGGCAATATGCCCTCCCCCCCCATTTGTGTTGGGAATACGTTTATACTGTCTCCGCCCCTTTTCAAAAAGAAATATGGTTACCCTATCTCTTGATCAAATATATAATACAAGTTATACAAATTCGGAGGAACCATCTCAGCTTTTGAAGTGCAGCGGTAATATGGAGGGTTTAGTCGTATGCAATTTAACAAGTATAAGTATTATTGGTATTTACCATGTTTATGCATGCGACGTGAAATGTTTCAATTACATTATTTTCTTTTCAAACACACTAGATATGTTCATTGAGTGCAAAATTTAACTATATAGTATAGTCACTCCGACAAGTGTCTTTCACTTATGTTTAACAAGTTGAAGAGGTTACCACCAGGTGCTATATGGTTCTACTACTCTACTCAGTAAAACACGTTTATTTGGTGCATTGACCTATTTCTTCAGTTGAAGTTGTCATTATGTGCAAAAGAGGCAAAATATTTAGAATTATTCAGTAAGGCCTGTTTTATACGTCCATTTTCAGTTGCGTCGAATGCAATTTAAACAGTACATAATGAAGCTTAATGAGGTTTATCATCTCATCTATTGTTTTAGTCCGTGTGTTGTGAGCTCGAAAAGTGCCTACAAAACAATTTTCATTTAGCATGTTTTAGATCTGAAATATTTTTACTGGAACTAACACTTTCCCGCTCCGTAGACCCGCAGTTTTTCAAAAACTGCTATTTTATCTTCACTAATTTCACGACAATTTGTTTCATTATTCAACGACACGGATCGATGAACGATTATGTCACTCAAAATGACCAATTTCTATTAACAAAAGACCGGTTTTGCACGAATCATTTTGAGTTAAGCAATCCTATGCGTATTGAACGTAAACAACATATCTTGTCTACAACTTTGAGAAGGTACAGATAATTCTTTCTAAAATCCTTAGTTCTGGTTCTATCTCTATAAAATCACAAGGTCGTTAGTGTTAAGTCTTTGGGCTATGTTTCTAGTCTGAGAAATCAGTTCCTTACATGCGATCAAAGTGTTTTATACAAAGATGTAAAACGGTAATTTATGTAAAGGATCAGCATTTAAATTTCCAACACAGTTTCCGAGACGTAATTCAACACATAACTTATCATTGCATTTGTGATTTGAACAGTTGGTGTCAGACGATAACGGGTCTAGAGACCTTACGATTTTAGGACGGCAACGCGACGACGGCCAAAACAGACTCCTTCAAATAAATTGTAGTAAAGATAATTCGTCGTATATTATCAATCGTATGAATTTAATACAGTCTTAGAAGTTGAAGACATGGGTTTTATGTTTGGGAAGAGTTCTGCTGAACCCAGTTTGAAGTTGCACTTGTTGTGGCTTGAAATGCAGCCGTTGTATGAAGACGTGAAAATCTGTGATTTGGCGTTGTAAACAGATCGCAGGACAATTATTCAATTCTTTTCAATAATTTATTGTATTGGTAGCCGTTGCCGTCGCGTTGCCGTCCTAAATCGTAAGGTCTCTATTTGAATTGCATTCGACGCGACCAAAATTCGACGTATAAAACAGGCCTAACACCACAATGTCTTGTGATGTCAATATTTCAAAACATGGCAAGGATTATCTCCACAACTGAATCCTAGTTATTATCATCGTGCATATCACATGCTCTTTTAGCCATTTCATCTACAATTTCAAACGCAGTTTTTTCCATTTCATCCAAGATGAGATTCAGGGAATAATGAATAAACGATAACGGTTCCTTGGTCACTATATATTTTGGATACCTTCGTACTTTGTACATGTTGCCACGATCAAACGACTTCAACCACTTCGGAAGATTATCGGTTGGGCTGATGTAAAATCGTTTCAGTCTTTCCCGCAGATTGTCGGTCAACATCTTAAATTCTACGGAACCAAAAGCTGGAAATTCCATTTGTGAACGATATGAATCGACTATATCCCTAATAGGCTTCTCGTTAATGAATTGGGAAAATGGCCAGAAACCAAATCTTTTCTCAAGTGACACAGCTGCCACCATCCATACCCTGCCTGCAAAATGAACGTTTATGAGAAACGAAGTATCAGAAATTCGCCTGGTCTCAGATGAGCTCGAGTGATTACTGATGCGATGGGCTAAGAACATGCTGATCATTACACACACAAATTGATTTAGTGGGGGGAATTGTTTGATGAACTTTGGCTTTGATATATCATTGAATTCTATTTTTGACAAAAAACAATTTCATATGAAGACATAAGCAAACAGAAGGCAGCAACCTTAATCTCAATCACAGCTTAATAAATGTGCAATAGTCCCAGCAACTAACGCTCTATAGAGCGTCTTGTTTCTATTGAAGTTGAAGAACTCGAAATTGACAAAATGATTGATATCTTTGAAAAAAAAAGCCGGATCAAATAAATTAAATAGTTAACTGAAACAATTTCGTTGCAATTTAAATTGTGTTTGCTTACACCTTGTCAGTATATTAATTGTTATGAACTATAAGTCGAACTCTAGCTTGTTATTGTTGTTGCTGTTTGTTTAAGCAATAGAAAACGGAGCTGGTTTTTTTTTGCTGTATTTACAGGGGTATAATTGATGTAGTATATTCTCGCAAATTTTGTTGCAGAATTCAGCGCAATATTTCGACCTCGTGTTCGTGCAAAATTCAATTCGTAGGGCTAAGACCCCGTTTACACGGTACCGGACGAATTTGTGACCGGACGAAAATTCGTCCGTTTTGGCCGTGTAAACACACGAGAACCACGGAACCGGACGAATTTGAGACCCCCTAACAGGACGAATTCGCGTGTAAACAGGCGAAAAAGGACGAATTTTCGTCCGGTCCCAAATTCGTCCGGTACCGTGTAAACGGGGTCTTAGCGTGGTAAAAAAAAAACTTTTGGGGGAGGATGTATAGTATGATGAACGAGCCCAGATTTACGCCACTGGACTGTTCCAAGTAATTTGTCGAAATGTTGTGAGAATGCGATTTGTTTACGGACTAAATATATTCATTTACTTAAACCAGAGTTATAGTCTCACTGATACTTCACCTTCTTGACATGAAGTCAAAAACTTTAAGAGGCCGTCTCCGTAAGAACCGACCACTGATCTTTTTTTCGAAAATCAACCTTGCCTCTAACTTTTCTTATTTATTAGACATAACAAGCATACTACAAAATCACATTCAGAATTTTTTATCTCACGTTATTTCCCGAGATTTTTAAACTTTTGTTCCTTAGGGCTATAATTGGGATCTCAACGCTTTGGCTAGCGTAAAAATACCACATCCGTATCCCTCAAATGCGCAGACGCACGGCCCGCTTTCCAATTTTTATGTTTATAATCGGAAAGTTAAGGTCTTTGTTCGAACATATCAAGCATCTACATACACATTTCAAACCCTTTTAAAACGTCTTTTTACACGAGCGTGCTTCAAGGTACTTTTTCAACATGGGTTAGGTCCTCAAAATTACATGTTTTTACGATCGGATTTTGAAAAAGTGGCACTACCCACAAACTTCTACTTAAATATTTTTTAAAACACTAATGGTAAATTATAATTCCATTCAAACAAAAATTGGGGGATTTTTTTCCAAACTATTTTAATCGACGCGTGAAATTTACAATTCTTTGGTGCTCACTGGAAATGACGCTGACAACCCATTCATTAAAAGTTCGCGCATAGTTTACAAATTCAACACATGCTAAAAGTTTTGAACACAAAAACGGCATGTAGTAAAACACGGACTACTGGAACACCGGAACACCACCGGAACACCACCGGAACACCACCGGAACACCACCTAATCCTAACCCTAACCCCAACCCTAACCCCCAACCCTAACCCCCAACCCTAACCCCCAACCCTAACCCCCAACCCTAACCCCCAACCCTAACCCTAACCCCAAACCCTAACCCCAAACAAAATGGTGGTGTTCCGGTGTTCCGGTGGTGTTCCGGTAGTCAGTGTTTTACTACATGCCCACAAAAACACTGCTTGAGTTGCATACATCTTATGTAGACCTCCTGTATGTTTCAAGCAGCCGCAAACGTTGTTTCAACAGTCGCACCACGCAGGTAATAACGTAATGTAAACAAATGTGTCTATATAATTATTCGCATGTTGCGAGACCCCGCTGCGAGTGAAACATCGTGCATTACAACGCCAAAAAATGCTAAATAAGATCTTGCTAAAACATAAGTGAATCATATTGTAGTTATATACCACAAAGTTTATCAAATTAAGATAAAAAATCAATCAAAAATACAAAATATTCGTCCGTCTATATTTAGGATACTCTGAGTACGAGATTGTAAACAAACAGTGACCCATTGCGTAATATACTAAATTTTTATCTAGACAAGAGGAAGGATATCTTTACCGGCACAGCTAGAAGGAGCATAATAAAATTAGTATAATTGCAAAGTTTGGTCGCGAAATGTTGTAAAATATCGAAAATAAAGGCTCGCGAATTTGAAAAATTTGTATCAAGGCTATAGTTTTGTATTTATACACGGCCAAATTATCAATTTGAGAACAGCTAGGGTGTCGATTTTCGCCGCGTAATAAATATACATAATTTGCAGTTATACTAATTTTATGATGTTCTTTCCAGCTGTCTATATCCAATTTCGCAATGGATCCATCTATATCTAAATAATACCGTAAACCTCCGATAAGCCCCCCCCCCCACCTCCCAATATATAAGCCCGCCCCCGAATATACTGTGTCACCCGAATATAAGCCCACCACATATGCTAACGCTCACCTCATTCCAAATATAAGCCCCCCCCCGAATATAAGCCCACCCGAGTATAAGCCGGCCCCTAAACTTAAGTCCCCCGAATATAAGCCCAGTAGCCCACTACGTTACTCAACATTGGTCACATTGTCTTTTAAAATAGCAGAGAACTGTTTTTGAACAGATGACAATATTTAAAAATATTGTCATTGCCTTTATAGCTCAGTATGTGAATCAAAACGCGTTATTAATACATGTTTATTTTCCTGTTTATGACTGACTTGTTTATGTCTGACTTCTTTATTACTAACACAAAAAATTGTCCATGTATAAGCCTCCCCTCCCGTATATAAGCCCACCCTGGTAAGCCTGGTTCACATATGTGCCTGCGACGTACCGGCGACGTACCGGCGACGATGCCGGTAGTAGCTTTAAAACGTAAATTATGTGAACATTTGTTCGCCGATTGCCTGGAGTGCCGCAGTTACATCGGCGGTAGGTCGGGAAAGTTGACTTGAGTTGAACTTTGCTGGTATTTCGGCGGCAAGTAGAAGCATAATGATACAGTCGCAGGCATGCCGCAGGTATATGTGAACCAGGCTGTATAAGCCCATCAATAATCGCTTACGAAAGTATATACATAAGCCCAGAGCCAGTGGCGGAAATCTCGGTGGGGCAAGAGGGCGACCGCCCCCCCCCCCACCCTCACGGAAAATTGACAAATTTTCGAAAATTTTGATCTAAAGAAGGCTAAAAATGGCCTTTTTGAGAGCAAATAGGGGGGTTCGACGGAAATTTGAAAGTTTTGTCGGAAATTTAGGAGGCTTTGCCCTCCCACCGGAAAAAGTGAATTTCCGCCACTGCCCAGGGCTTATAGTCGGAGTTATAGAGCTTATAGAGGCAGTTATAGAGCTTATAGAGGCAGTTATACGGCTTATAGAGGCAGTTGGACCCAATTAGTTTCTATAAATATAGCTGTAGTTTATTCAAGTAAGATATTTTCAAATATTATTTAGATATAGATGGATCCATTGCGAAATTGGATATAGACAGCTGGAAAGAACATCATAAAATTAGTGTAACTGCAAATTTTGTCAACATGAGCTCCACCTTTGAATTTACTATATGAGTAAATTCTTAAACACGTCCGAATTTATCATTTTCAACTTTTTTTTGAGTTTTTCAACTTTTTTAAAAAATAGCTTTTAAAAAAGTTTTAAAAAGTTTTAAAAGAGTTTTGAAAAGCAAGAAAAGTTTAAAAAGTTAGATTTTTAAAAAAGTTAAAAAAATTTAAAAAGTTAAAAAAATTAGGGGTTAGGGGTTAGTGGTTAGGGTGGGGGTTGGGGTTAGGGTTAGTGTTAGGTGCCGCGAATTTATTATTATGATAAATTCAAAATTTGCCGCGAATTTATCATAATGATAAATTCGGACCACAGGCGGCCCAATTTCTGAACGTCCTATATATTTTGAATATTTAACCGTTATAATATTTTAAAATAACAAAATAATTCAAAAAATATTAACAATATATGTAAAAAATATATCTCACTTGTTAATAGAATCCATTTGTTGTGTTTCTGAGTCTAGTTGATGCGATTGCTTTACGTTTTCGTCGTACTTGAACGGTCGTCAGTACTATGGCACTGGGCGACATGGCCGTATAGGACATAAATAACTACAAGGCTAGCCACTTATCTAATATACTATCCGACATCGAGTCCAATATCTCGCCTCAGAATCGTCGCAGAGCAATAAATTTCACATCGTCTAATAGCATGAACGTTCCTCTTTCGAAAGAACTTGGTTTCTTCACCATTGCGGCAATTCCCGCGACACACGACGAACTTTGTTTGTCAAAAGTACAAATTTCCATTTTCGACAGAACCGCTAACCCCATGATCGTTGCCACGAGAGCGGCACAGCAACCTGGCCTCCTCGTTTGAAAACATTCCATCAGGGGGGGGAGGAGCTGGACTGTAATGAGGGGGCTTTCAAAGCAACACGATAAAACACACGATATAAATGGAAATTATTACTTTATCATGCTGTATTCGACAATAAACAAGTATTAAACTTGGCTGCGTTCAACCGTATGTCTTACCATTTATATCGTGTGTTTTATCGTGTTGCTTTGAAAGCCCCCTCATTCCAGTCCAGCTCCTCCCCCCTGATGGAATGTTTTCAAACGAGGAGGCCAGGTTGCTGTGCCGCTCTCGTGGCAACGATCATGGGGTTAGCGGTTCTGTCGAAAATGGAAATTTGTACTTTTGACAAACAAAGTTCGTCGTGTGTCGCGGGAA